CCCTGGCCAATCAGCTGGAATCAATAAATCTCTATGAGGAAAGTTCAGTGTCTGCATGCAGAGGGAGGAGACACAGTGCTTCCCTGTGCTCTGCTGACAGCAGATCTGAGTGGATTGAGGCATTTTATGCCTCCATCAACTCAGAAGTCCCTCTGGTTCACTCTGAGTGACTGCAACTGGAGGTGTTCCTAGCTTTCAATGTAAACACTGTATTTTCTCAGAAAATACAGTGTTTACATGAGAAAGGCTGCAGGAAGCTATAGTTCTCACCTGAACAACCTCATTAAGCTGAAGTTGTTCAGGTAACTATAGTGTCCCTTTAACATGAATATCAGGATAGTCCAGCACAGGTCAAGGATGTGCATTTTGTTATACATAGAAAACGGTATGTAGTTTAAACCCGATATATACTGTCTGTAGACAGTGTTTGCTTATTTGAGGTTTGATGGAAACATCTCACTTTCTTGATTGTGTCTAGGATATTTAGGTGAAATCTAAACCAGGAAATGAGATGAGATGATGCTTCTTTGATGATTCATCTATTTTTGTGCAAAACCAAACCTAATTATAATTTTTGTAATTTTTTTTTTTTACAAGTTCAGTTTGAATATATTTAAAAAACAAACAAATATCCCTAACCCTGAATATCAACCATACAAATACCTAACTATAAAGACTGAACTTAACATATCCCTATGCCTATACCTAATACCACACCCCTACACAATCACCCTGTTACCGGAATAAGTCGCAGAAGCCAAACACAAAGAGATGGAAGCAGGTTCGTTCAGGAAGTAAAAGGTCTTTTATTTACACACCGATCGGGTCTCAGCTGAACTAGCGTTCCAAAATGTCTGAGCCCAGAGCACATGGGGACAATGCTTTATATTAACAATAATTCCTCCCATTCATAGCTCCACCCACACATACCCTTAGACCAATCAGTAAACAGGATATTTAGGATCACCTTATATGGGCAGACCGCATGGCTCCTTTAAAGACAAAGGAATGTGACTATAGTTGTTGCACATGCTCAGTACACTGATGACTCACTTTACTGTTCGTAATCTAATATACCTTGCATATGCCACATGGAGATTTCGGCCTACTAAATTTTAAACCACGCTGAAATCCCATCACAATCCCACTACATCTAACACAAAATACTAATCTTAATCCTGCCATTTACATGGCATCAAAACATTTACAATGTGTAAATCGGGTATTTTGTATGGATTAGTTCTTTGTAATCACTGGCTGAGGGTTATGTGAGTTGTTGTTCGACAGTTTTTACTTTGTGTGTTAATACAGAATTATAAAAGATTACAGTGAGGTTAAACGTTCAGCTGAGCCACAGCCATCTTCTGTCAGTAAAGATATCGCAGCATCGAAATGGTCGGTCAACTACGCAACATACCCAGACAGCATAATATGGTGAGTCTCGAAAGCTACACTGCTCTCTGTATCTCCTTTCATTTAGAACAAGAGCAATGTGTTTACACAAGCTTATGCACAGATGCAGTTTAAATCTGCCTATGACTGAGTGCCACATGGCAAATGGAATGGTAACCATTAAGGGTTTAAGGGTTCCTCCCTGACAGTAAAGAGAATTATTATATTAAATGCACAAACTTTTTTTATTATTATTATTATTATTATATTTATATAAACTTGCTACACAATGGGGAAAGTTATTAAAGCAGCTCTGTCACTACTCCCCTCCCCAAATAAATAAGAATGTCTTAAAGAAGAAATCTGAAATTTCCAACACAGTAAATAGACACTAAGTTGTCTTATGTATTATTCCTACACCTAACAAAAAGCAAAGCTACCTTTTGTCAAGCACTCAGCTTAAATAGTGACAAATAGTGAGGGAGAAAAGGTTTGTTTTCATAGATATAGAGATCAGGGTTATACTCCTGCATGTGGAAAACGATCTTTAAGAAAGCAGATTGCAGGTTAAAAACAACCTTCCCCTGCCTCTCTGGGGTCTCTGCTAAATATGCAAAGGCCCCAGAAGGTGACAGAGATCCTTTAAAAAGCTGGGTTATTGTCCTTCGGAAATGTTGATTTTCAGTATCTTGTCATTTTAGCCAGATATTATAGAATAGGCAAACTATATCGGGTTTTATTAAAGGTAGAGGGCATCAGGGCCGGACTAGGAGAAAAATTCGGCACGGGCATTTTTTTAGCACAGCGGTCCACTAAGAAGGGGGCAGGGCAGAGAGGGTGTGTTTCGTCATCACCCCTCTCAAAGTGAGCATGTTGGTTCAATGTTCTTCTAGGGCAGACCAGCCACAGAGCTCTGCTAAAGAGCTCTAGCATGAGAAAAAAAAGCCCTGCATTTGTTCTGCACAGTGCAAGCAAATTTAATAACATGCTTGCACTGTGTTTCCTTGCAACTTGTCTCTGGTGTCTCTATAAATGGATACCAGGAGACAAAAGGGCCAGGAAAGAGTATTGTGCATGTGTTTGGAGCCTGCTTGTGGTATTTCGTGTGTTTAGAGTGAGCTGGTCGTGGTGTGGTATTGTGTAATAAGGTCGGTTTTAGTCGTGTTGTGTTTTTGGTGTAATGTAATGCATATGTGGCTAGGGGCTGTAGAGAATGTGTGTATAGGGGATGTAATAAGTGTGTGCATACAGGCTATAGTGTGTGTGTGTATAGGTGATGTAGTGTTTGTAGGGGTTGTGTGAGAGTGTGTGTTTAGGGGTGTAGTATGTGTTTGTTTTTAAAGGAATCTAGTGTGTGTATAAGGGATCCAGAGTGTGTATGTTAGGAATGTAGTGTGTGTGTAGGTGGTGCAGTGTGTGTGTGTGTGTATACAGGAGTCTAAGTGTGTGTTTGAAGGACCTAGAATGTGTAGGAGATCTAGTGAGTGTGTGTATATAATGGAACCAGAGTGTATATAGGGATCTAGTGTGTGTATATTAGCCAGAGTTGGGTAAGGGATCTAGTGTGTGTCTGGTGCAGTGTGTTGGGGTTTTGTGTGTATGTGTGAGGGGTGCAGTGGGTGTCTGTGAGGGGTGTAGTGTGTATGTGAAAGGTGCAGTATGTGTGTGTGATGGATGCTGTGTTTGAGTGGTGCTGTGTGTGAGGAGGTTGTGTGTGATGTGTATGAGGGTGCTGTGTATGTGTGTGAGGGTGCTGTGTGTGATGTTTGTAAGGGTGCTGTGTGTGAGGGTGCTGTGTGTGATTTGTGTGTGTGGGTGATGTGTGTGAGGTGCTGTGTGTGAGGTGTGTGAGAGTGCTGTGCGTGATTTGTGTGTGAGGGTGCTGTATGTGAGGTGTGTGAGAGTGCTGTGTGTTTGTGATTTGTGTGAGGGTGCTGAGTGTGATGTGTGTGAGGGTGCTGAGTCTGGTGTGTGTGAGAGTGCTGTGTGTGATCTGAGTGATGTGTGTGAGGGTACTGAGTCTGGTGTGTGTGAGTGTGCTGATTGTGATGTATGTGAGAGTGCTGAGTGTGAGAGTGCTGAGTGTCATGTGTGTGAGGGTGCTGTGTGTGAGGTGTGTGTGTGTGATTTGTGTGAGGGTGCTGTGTGTGAGGTGTGTTTGTGATTTGTGTGAGGGTGCTGAGTGTGATTTGTGTGAGGGTGCTGAGTGTGAGAGTGCTGTGTGTGAGAGTGCTGAGTGTGATGTGTATGAGAGTGTTGTGTGTGAGGGTGCTGTGTGTGATAGTGCTGAGTCTGGTGTGTGTGAGAGTGCTGAGGGTGCTGTGTGTGATAGTGCTGAGTGTGATGTGTGTGAGGGTGCTGAGTGTGATTTGTGTGAGGGTGCTGAGTGTGAGAGTGCTGTGTGTGAGAGTGCTGAGTGTGATGTGTATGAGAGTGTTGTGTGTGAGGGTGCTGTGTGTGATAGTGCTGAGTCTGGTGTGTGTGAGAGTGCTGAGGGTGCTGTGTGTGATAGTGCTGAGTGTGATGTGTGTGAGGGTGCTGAGTGTGATGTGTGTGAGGGTTGCTGTGTGTGATAGTGTTGATTGTGATGTGTGTGAGAGTGTGATGTGTGATGTGTGTGAGGGTGCTGTGTGTGATAGTGTTGAGTGTGATGTGTGTGAGAGTGCTGAGTGTGATGTGTGTGAGAGTGCTGTGTGTGATAGTGCTGAGTGTGATGTGTGTGATAGTGCTGAGTGTGATGTGTGTGAGAGTGCTGAGCGTGATGTGTGTGAGGGTTGCTGTGTGTGTGCTGAGTGTGATGTGTGTGAAAGTACTGTGGGCAAATGTTAAAAGGGATTGTGTGTTGGGGGGGTAAAAATAAAATAAAAAAATAAGCAGGCATTTTATCCCCCCTCCCTCCTTACCTTTAGCCTGGGGGGGGACCGGCACTCTTACATCATCCCTGGTGGTCCAGTGGTGAGTGAACTCTAGCCTGCGAGCTAGAGTTCATTCTCGCGAGATCGGGGGCGTTGCCATGGCAATGCTCCAGATCTCGCGAGAGGAACCCGGCGGAGCTACAAGATAGAGCTCTGCCAGGTCCTCCTCTCCCTCCACAGCCGCATGTCTATTCAAGTGAGCCAGTCATGGCAAACAGCGGGGCCGGCGCTCGGATAGTGCCGGCCCTGCATAGACCGGCAGGGGAGTTCATGGTACTAGAGGGCATTATGATAAATAAGTAAGGGAATGCAAACTTGAGCAAATAGAAGGGAAATATTAAACTCAACTACTTGTCCAGCTCTGCTTTTATATCCTCCCTTTTCAAAGTAGATATTCCCAATTTCTGGTGCCCTGATAGTTCTCTATGCAAATATTACCCTCTAACTGCTGTTTCTTTCTTCTTTCTCTATTACCAGGGAGAATATTTCTGTTCAGGGAAAGCAATGGTGGATACAATGTTTTAGCATCAATGCTGTCCTCATTTTCCTTCTATTCTTCCTGTCGACTCCTTCAGTTTTTATAAAAACATTCGAAATATTGGATGTCACCAAAGAAGCTTACCAACTGCTCGTAAGTAACGTTAACTGTAATCTACTACATTACAATGGGAATAATTACAAAGAAAGGTTCCAATGGAGGCACCACCTCTACAAGACCTGGGTGCAGACAGTCTCTATGATGTAATGGACTATTATCACATCTACAAGACCTGGGTACAGACAGTCTGTATAATGTAATGGACTATTACCACCTCTACAAGACCTGGGTACAGACAGTCTGTATAATGTATAATGTAATGGACTATTACCACCTCTACAAGACCTGGGTGCAGACAATCTGTATAATGTAGTGGACTATTACCACATCTACAAGACCTGGGCGCAGACAGTCTGTATAATGTAATGGACTATTACCATCTCTACAATACCTGGGTACAGACAGTCTGTATAATGTAATGGACTATTACCACCTCTTCAAGACCTAGGTACAGACAGTCTGTATAATGTAATGGAGTATTACCACCTCTACGAGACCTGGGTGCAGACAGTCTGTATAATGTAATGGACTATTACCTCCTCTGCTTGTACCAAGGAGATATGGACTCCTAGACTTGTTTCGTTGCAGTATCATCAATACAGTGTGTAGTAATGCTCATCTTAATAAATACAGTGACTGCCTCTAATATTTGATATAATGTGATTTTATTTTATTTGCTCTTACAGAAATCTGGTATAAAAATGGGCTTCCCTGCAGTCATGCTGTTTTCATTTTCTTGCCTGTTGCGAAGTGTGGTCTACCAGTCAACACTATTGGAGCGTCATTGGACAAAGTAAGTCCTTTGTCTCTGTCTGCAATGTAAATGTATCTACTCATTTAGATGGGTTACTTTTAGATGGCTGTGCATGCAAGAACTGGGACACTCCAAGCACCATAGCAACTTATGGCCTTTAATTAGGTAATGGCACAAGAGAGTTTCCCGTTTCTTATAAGTGCAGTTATCTGCAAAAGCCACTGTGGCCACAAACCACCCGGGCCAAATAGTTGTAGTATAGGAAGAATTGATGCTTCTGCCTTTGTAATCAAGGTAGTTTTAGTATGAAATAGTTGACTGCAGAAGCTGCAATGCTCTGGCTATGCTACCTGCAAACTATTCAAGCACTCCTGATCTAATGATAAAGTAGCTGTCAGGTTTTATAATTGTGGGAATCTCTGAGATATCTTTTTGTGTTCACAATGTTATATTTTTTTTTACAGGTCTGCACAAAACAGAAAAGTGATGTTCAAACTTTTTCTGTTGCTCATCTTCATGGTGCTGATTTTACCATCACTCAGCCTCATCAGGTTAGAATAAACTTTGCATTTACTTCTTTCACTTCTACCTCTTTTAAAGACGAACTTTGCGAATAGTTTAACCCGAAGTTGGTTCTCCAACCTCCGTAGACTCCAGAAAAGCCTGCCTTGGTCACCATTGATAGGCTGAAATCGGCAGCTGAGGCACACAACCTATCAAAGGCTTCCTATTGCCTGTAATAGTACATACTGCTACTCACATTAGGCAACCAGGGATAGAATGACCCTTTCAGACTATCACTGGCCTCTGAGGAAAACCTTCTTCTTCTGTCACATTAAGCCATCTTGGATCAGCCATTATCCAAACCAAGATCACTCTCCCTGCGGCATGTCCACAGAGCAGAGCTATGCTAGGAAGCATTCATGGTGCTTGATCATGCTTAGTTCACCATAGGTGATCTTGGGTACTTAACCTGGCTAAAATCAGTCTATGTAACCACTCTTGTATTTCCATTTTCCAGTTTGGACTTCTTTTTCCAGTGGCTGTTCGGCAGTAAGCAGGACTGGGAAGGTGTTGAACGCTTGGAGTACGTAACAAGATTTTGTCTTATATTTTCAATTATCACCTCTCTGTATACTAACTTTCCTCTCCAATTCTATGACTCCTGTTGTATATCTTCTTTTGTCCTGCCAGCTTTGTCCCATCCCTCTCCGTCATGGTGTCTCCCCTTGTATCTCTCTTTCTGTCCCATCTTTCTTTATCTCTTTTAATCCTGTCAATATTATTATAGGCAATTAATGGGCACTCACAAATTCTCCATTCTCAGATGGGTACCCATAATCACGGCCAATTTATTAAGTCCAGGGTCAACGCAGCTGTCTAAAATCTGAGTATTCTAATTTTTTGAGTGTCACCTCTATGTGGTGTGTTATGTGGATGCTTAGTAAGGGGGCGTAACTGTTACCCTGGAAAGTTACGCATTGCACAAATGTCTTATATATAAAAACATATTTTATATAGAGAAATAAGCCAAGAATATACAAAAGCTGAGATCAAATGCACCAAACAAGCTTCCGTGTGGGTAATCTGATTGTCTCACAGAAAGGGTGGCAAGTCAAATGGCCTAATCATGTCACAGGGTCCTGACTTGAGTTCCCTATTCAAATTATCCTTTTGTGTTGTAATAATTATAAATATTACAGCCTTGTCTAGGGGAGGCATATCCTCTCTTACCTGTAATCTGAATTTAGATCAACTGTGTCGTCTCTACACCCTGCTGTCTTTTTTACGTATCTCTGCCATGTTGCGTCATAATTTATCAGCCCATGTTAACACTGTTCCTTTCTCCTTAGATGTTTGTTCCTTCCCAACCAAGGATCATTCTTTGTAAATTACATAATCAACTCAGCGTTTGTAGGAAATGGAATGAGTTTAATTCGTTTTCCAGATGTCTTCTATTTTGTATGGAATATGGCGACTGCAAAGTCTGCAGCGGAAAGGAAGACCATACGGAAGGTAAACTACTAAGTGATTCTATAATTTGGAGTAGAATGACTAGGACATTAACTGCAATTGATTTATGGTAATTACTATTATTTCATTATTTTACAGAACCAGGTCTATCAGATTGAGCTTGGAGTCATGTATGCAGATATGATCTTCGCCTTTACAGTCATCATGGCTTACAGTTTAACCAATCCCCTGATTGCTCTGTTTGGTATGCATTATGTTTATCAAGGTAGCTGTAATCGTATAACTGTTAATAGGTTATCAGAATGGGAACATGGAGACCTCACTGCTGTGATGTCCCCTGGTATGGGCTAGTTACCAAAAGAAAGTAGCAAGAGTTAAGATTTATTTTGGTCAAGCCTCCAAGAGTAAGGGAGTGCAGGCTGTAAACGTAATTGGAAGTGCTGCCTCTGTCATAAACAGTTATGTTTTAGTTGAGTCCAGAAAAAAATAAAATAATTAAGATTACATTGAAACTGTAAATTATTTGGGAAAGAAAAAGAAAATCACTTTTCCATTTGTAAAGTTTTTTTTTAACTATGTAGCTTACAAAGGGGATAACATTCTCATATTTGAAAAAGCTTGGAGGTCTTCTATGGAGACAGGTAAGTAGGTTGAAGTTCTGAGGATAGTTTTTATTTTCATTCTGGGTTTTGAAATCATTGACCGAAGACTGATAGCAAAGCAGGAGTTACACTGGATTCAGCACACGTTCTCCATGCGTTAACACATATATTTCATGTATTCTCTTTCAGGAATGGTGTATATTGTTCATAGGCACATTGTTGATCGGTACAATGTGTCCTTTGCCTTCGTTTCAGTACAACTGGACAAGAAAATTCATTTCGAAGCCATCATTCTAGCTTTGACAGGCCCTTTATTTAGTCTCTTGTGGCTGTTTTGCTGGTCGTTTGTGAAACTTGGTAAGCGTCTGTGTGTTTGAATGTAACATTGTGGATTATTCACTAGAAGTAATTGTTAAACTGCTTTTTGATGTACTGTTTAATGCAGAAAACATTGCATTTGTCCTCCATATCTGTTTCCTAGGTATAAATAACAGGTGACAATTGAGGCCAACACTCCAATAGATGAGATGTTTAGTCCATGTCCCCTGAAATGTCTTGTGACACAAACTTGACATATGATTTGTTCATTATGGACTGTAGTGATGCAGTACGGCTTTTGGGAAGACCAATCAGGAGAGGGTTACAATAATCCATTTGGGAAATTACTAGAGCATGGACAAGCTCCATGGTAGCATCTTGCGTAAGAAATCTACAGGACTTGGCAACATGCTGGATGTGAGGCTCAAAGGTGAGGCCAGAATCAAGTAGGACGCCAAGACAGCACGCTTGCAAGGATGGACTGATGTGGGTACCACAAACTTGAAGGGAGAGCGAAAGAGGAGGATCAGTATTAGGAGGAGGAAAGACAAGGAGATAAGTTTTAAAGAGATTGAGTTTCAGAAAGCGGGAGGACATCCAGTCAGAGATGGAAGAAACGTTGCAGGAAGGCAGGGGAGAGGTCCGGAAGGAGAGATATAACTGGGTGTCATCAGCGTACAGGTGGTAGTGGAATCCAAAAGAGGTAATAAGTTTGCCAAGAGAGGCAGTATAAAGAGAAAATAGAAGGGGACCAAGGACAGAGCCTTGGAGGGGAATCCAGGAGACACTGAATGAGCATTGGGAGAGATAAGAGGAAAACCACGAGAGGACAAAGTCACAGAGACCAAGTGATTGAAGAGTTTGAAGAAGGAGAGCATGATCAATGGTGTCAAAGGCCGCAGAGAGGTCAAGAAGAATTAGTATGGAGTATTGGCCTTTGGATTTAGCTGCGATTAGGTCGTTAGTAACTTTGATGAGCGCAGTCTCAGTAGAGTGGAGAGGGCGGAAGCCAGATTGAAGAGGGTCAAGGGGAGAGTTGGAATTAAGGAAGTGAGACACACAGGTAAAGACAACTCTTTCCAGAAGCTTTGAGGAAAAAGGGAGCAGGGATATGGGACGATAGTTAGAGGGGGTGGACAGGTCGAGGGATGTTTTTTTTTCGTATAGGTACTACATTTATATAATATATGTCTATATATCATATATATAATGTCATACTAAGTGTATTTTTATATTAATATGTAGTTATATTAATATAAAAATACACTTATAATTAAATTACACATGTATATATATAATATATATAATAACTATATATATTGTATATATATATTATTATAAAATATAAATAGTAAGTAATTTAAATTAAATTAAAAAATTTAAAAATAATAATAAAAATTTAAAATAAATAAATAAAAATAATACGAAATATACATATGTCCATATACAAAATTACATAAATAATTATATAAATATACACGTAGACTTCAAATATATAACTATGCATATATATTTAAATTCTACGTGCATATTTATGTAATATTTTTACATAATTAAGTAATTTTATTGATTGCAATTTGAGGGACCTGCCTGCCAACCCAGGCCGGAAGTCCAGAGAATTTAATTTGCTAGCACTGTATTTTACCCTGTAACGTTCTACGACACCCTAAAACCTGTACAAGGGGGGTACTTTTTTACTCGGGAGACTGCGCTGAACACAAATATTAGTGATTCAAAACAGTAAAACATATCACAGCGATGATATTGTCAGTGAAAGTGAAGTTTGTTGCATTTTTCACACAAAAACAGCACTTTTACTGATGATATTGTTGTGATACGTTTTCCTGTTTTAAAACACTAATATTTGTGTTCAGCGAAGTCTCCCGAGTAAAACAGTACCCCCCATGTACAGGTTTTATAGCATTTTTGAAAGTTACAGGGTCAAATAGTTTTACATTGAAAATGGCCAGGTTGGTTACGTTGCCTTTGAGAGCATATGGTAGCCCAGGAATGAGAATTACCCCCATGATGGCATACCATTTGCAAAAGAAAACAACCCAAGGTATTGTAAATGAGGTATGTCCAGTCTTTTTTAGTAACCACAAACACTGGCCAAAATTAGCGTTCAATTTAGTTTTTTACTTTTTTCACACACAAAGGAATATGAATGCTAACTTTGGCCAGTGTTTTCAACTAAGTGGCTACTAAAAAAGACTGGACATACCCCATATTGAATACCCTGGGTTGTCTACTTTAAAAAAAATATGTACATGTGGGGGTGTTATTCAGAGATTTATGACAGATAATAGTGTTACAATGTCACTATTGCTAAATTTTAAAAATGTATGTTTTGAAACCGCAATATCCTACTTGTACCTAGAGCCCTATAACTTTCCAAAAAAAAGCAAAAAAGCACATAAACACTGGGTATTTTTAAACTCAGGACAAAATTTTTAATCTATTTAGCAGTTTTTTTCATTCGCTTTTGTAGATAAGTAAAAGATTTTTCAAGTAAAAGTCAAAAAACATGTATTTTTTAAATTTTTCATCATATTTTGTAAATTTTTTTTAAATTAAATTACATGAGATTATATAAATAATGGTATGTAAAGAAAGCCCCTTTTGTCCTGAAAAAAACAATATATAATTTGTATGGGAACAGTAAATGAGAGAGCGGAAAATTACAGCTAAACACAAACACCACAAAAGTGTAAAAATATGCCTGGTCGCAAATGTACAACATCGCAAAAACAGTCCGGTCCTTAAGCATGCGTAGGATAGACATAAAGCTATCTTAGATATAAGAGACTAAGGAAAGTATTTTAGAAAATTGGGCAGACTAGATGGGCCGAATGGTTCTCATCTGCCGACACATTCTATGTTTCTGTGTAAGAGAAGATTAGGTCAAGGGTATTGCCAGCTACATGGGTGGGGGAATTAGCCCACTGTGATAACCCGAGGGAGGAAGTAATTGAAAGTAGTTTAGAGGCTGCAAAGGTCAAAGGTGGGTTAATAGGAATATTGAAGTCCCTGAGAATTAGGGATGGAATATTAAAAGAGAGGAAATAGGGTAGCCAGGCAGCAAAGTGGTCAAGGAAGAGGAGAGGGGAACCAGGGGGACGATAAATAACAGCAATAGAACGGCAGTGTTTTACATGATGAACTGACAGGGAAATAAAGTAGTCTGGGTGCCTATATAGTAGTACCCTGTAGCAGGGTATACATGGGGAATGTGAGTACAGTGTGGGTACTATGTAGGTAGCTCTCGCAATTAATACCACCTTCTTCTGTGGTACCACTGATTTTTAAATTTGTTGCAAAGCCAGGATAGCAGCTTTTTTTTTTTTTTCCTGTACCATGTAGTCAATTAGCCATCTTTCCCATCCCCAGTTTGCCCACTGGGGCTAATATGTTACTCCCACCAGGTCTTTACCTCAATCATGTGTTTTGCAGGGCTAAAGTATTTATTTAATCTTGTCTCATATTCTATGTTTAAAGAGACCTGCTGCACCATGTCTTCTCGTGTGTGTAACGGAGAGTATTATAAAAATAATTACATACATTTTATTTTTAATTGCAAAAGATTTACTCATGATATAAAATGTCCACAGCTACTTGATATGTAGATAGCACAGGTATATGCTATGTGTGTACAGCTCTGAATTTATTAATTGAAATTCCAAAATGCATGCACCCCTCAGTCTTATTACTTATTCATTTCCTTTATATCTATAGGAATTGAGGCTCCTACAACAATATTTACACTGTGCGTCATCATCACCACGATTGTTATGTGCGTGATTTATATAGGTCTGGGACGTCTCAAGCTCCTCGGATGCCTGAATTATAAGGTAAAGCTTTGCCAGTGGCCTCTATTTTTAATCTATGTTTCACACAAAAAAAAGAAAACACAGAAAATATTTTTAAAAATTAACATAAGACATTATCCAGCAATCATACAGTGTTTGTCAATTAGTAAACAATCCGTCAATGTGGGAACAAATGTACAGCAATTTTGCGGAATAGATTATATCATATAACTAAAGGCGTGGGCCAGTTTTTCACTCTTGTCCATTAATAGTGCAGTAGTTTTGTAGGTTGAATACTCCCGACCTAATCCGTAATTATTGGTCCATCTAAGTTTGCATTAGCCACGTCTTTACATTCTAATATCGGGTATTAATAACAAAACAAAAAATGTAGTGTATGATTCCCTAATATAATCGCACAATATAAGTCAATAAGATCAAAGGGTATTTAAAGGAAAAAGAGTGTGTGTGTCCTGTAACCCCATAGCATGAGGAAATAAAGGAACTATAGAAAATGCTTATTCTACTGATGTTCCATCCAACAAGATCCACTTTGTTATGCTATGGCTGGAATAGTATTGATAATTATTGGCTGAGAATACTGCTATATTGTATCAGCGCTAGTTTATAGTCTCCTGTCTGTTGCAGACTGAGGAATGTCCGACCTTCGCACAGACACACAAAAATGGAGCAACAGTCAAAGCTGAAACGTTTCAGATTATATCAGAGACATCCGTGGAGACTACTCAGATACACGTGCAGATGCCTGAGGTAAGTACCCAGCTTGGTGCGGCAGCCATACAGAGTAAAAAAAAAAAATATATAAATGAAATAAAGAAATGCTGCTTTACACGGGTATCTCGCGGCACAGACACCTGTGATAACTAACCAGCTTGATGCACAGAAACTGAGTGAAAGACTAAATATATCTGCAAAATGCACATTAAGGATAAAGCAAAAAAAATAATAATAAAATGAAGTAAATCTTTCTTGAAATCACCTATCCTTGCTAATGCATATAATGATTTAGTCACGCCATATGGTCATGCCGTGTTTAAGCTACCACCATAGGTGGCCCTTTAAACGTGTTTACAGGAAAGCATACCTTTCGGGATATTACTGTACTGTAAAGCTGTAGTGGGAAAATGTGAGGTGAATAAAGTGAACAATCCTCACATTATTAAATATAACAATATTACAGTTAACTAAATCCACAATCCTGAAGGTATGAAATATTACATATTTCACAGATATTAGCAAAATACATAAATCTACAATTATAAATATAGAAATTAAAATTTAGAAAATGCAGCCTTAGATGGCCGTGTACGTGGGTAAGGCTCTAAGGGGAAAAGGCTTGCTAATTATAGGTTGAGTATTGTATCAGCACCGGTTTATAATTACCTGGTTACTTGTTTTTTTAAGGAATCCCTAACTGGCAAAGAATCAAAAAGTGAAGAAGTCAGATACCAGTGGTAAGTAACCATGTTGGAGCAGCATCCATAATGTTTTACAGGGCTATGCAGTGTATGTAAGATTTTATATTAAACAGAAGGAATGGTGAGTTGTAATGAAGATATGGTGATTGGAGTGGTTAGGAGTGTGTGGGACGGTTTGGTGCATCTTGTAATTACATTTTATGTGAAGGATACTTTATTTCCATATATTATATAATATCCTAATCTTTTATTGTTGATTTCTGCATTTGAAATATATAGGAATGAATTAACACCAAGTCACAAAGATTATGTAGTAATAGACATAGAGGACGAAACATCAACACCAAGTCGCAAAGATTATGTAGTAATAGACATAGAGGACGGAACACCTGGCTGACGATGGGCTACAAACGATCCTGATGCTGGACGATTGTGAGAAGTAGACATCTCATGGCGTATTTGAAATGAAGCTAGACAAGGCACCATAGGATGGATTTCTGCATTTAAAATGAATAGGACAAGAGACCAACATCAACTGGCACCGAAATATAAAGACTATGTGGTGGTAGATAAAGAGGATGTGACACCTGTCTGGGAGAATCATCGCACACACACACTGGACTTGACACATGATGATCACAAGAAGAAGGCATCTCATCGCTTATCTGGAATAAAGCAAGAAAAATCAGAAAATGACGGATTTCATGTAAAAAGACGACACGTTATTAGATGATTATGAGGATAATATTTGAATGTAATTATGTAATATTACAAAAAAAATTTTTTATTAGAAATGTCTGTATTAATGAATATTATTATATTTATTATTATATCTATTTGCATAAATGTGTAGATTGTTATTTGAAAAATCTTCAATAAAAATATTTGTGTAGAAATGTAATAAATATATTGTACAGAATCTCTACTGAGCTTTGTCACCTTCTTGCACTATGGTTAAATATGTCCGTTCCATGTAAGAGAGCATGGCTTGTTACACGGTATATGCTCTCATATTAAAAGTCCTTCACTCAGACTCACTACACCTGGACATAGCAGTGGTGATAGTATTAGTCTGCGCCATGTCCCAAATCCCTATGAACAAATAACTTTATAGTTGAGTTCAACACTGCAAATTCTCCTTGCTGCTTTCAGATAAAAGGACAATTCTCAAACTGGTAAACTAAATAGCTATTGTAATAGCACCACAAACAAGGGTTTTTGGTGGAACCACTGAAACAGCAAGCGCCAGATAGGAGACTAGTGCTGCTCAAATGGTTTAGCTCTCTGAACCTCCTTCTCCCATCCTGTTAACCCTCTAAGCTACTGGGATAACAAAAAGAATGTGTGCCCTCCCTCCGGTTGCCCTGGAGCTCTTATGTCCGAAAACCACTGTCCAAGTGAGAGTGTGTTTTCAGTAACTGGAAACAAATTGAATCCTCAGCTCTCACAAAGGTTCCTGAAGGCAACCTGATCTGTTTGATACATATTGAGGTTTTTCTTCTGTCTGATAAGTGTCAAAAATAATCTACAATGCTGTGTGCACTGGAGGTTAAGAGAAACTGAAACCATTGTGGATCTTTACCCCCTTCTGGCTGCAATCTGCTGGGTGGTAATGCCTGCTACCTTTCACCGGTATAGTTGGTAATTCACTGAATCTGAATGCACTGCATTTTTACTCTGGATGTCCACTGCCAGCTAAGGACTGAACAAGTGGAAAGGCTTTACCCTGGGGTTAAAACAGGCAATTGTTTATTAATTGCCGACTCACTCTTCCCTTCTACATTTCTTTTCATTTTTTTAATCCTAATTCCAAATTATCCTTAAAAGTGGATGTTAGTTCCTCCCCTCTGACTCAGTCTGTGGTGTGGCAACGGCTGCTTTCTCTGCCGGCACAACCAGTTAGTCACTATGGCACTCCAAGGACTAAAGGTCTGCAAATGCTTTGCTCATGGTCTTAAACAAGTGACTAGGTCATGAATTGCCCACTCATGTTCCAGTTTCCATTTAAAATCCTTTTCTATAGATTTTTCTTTTTAAAAATGCTCCTGCAAACAAAGTGGTGTACAATTGGATGTCCGCTCCACACACCAAGGACTGGAGGCCTGCAAAAAGTAGTTACCATTCTAATCCCTTCCATAACACACCTATTATTACCACCATTACAGCCAGTATGACCACGACACCCAACCATCCATTCCATCCTAATAATATCACAAAAAACACATCTCTAGTTGGTCACAGAGGGTGTAATGCTTCAGACTGTATGCACTCACTGTATTCAGAGAAACACAAAGCCCACAACGTATTCGGACAAAATGTAAATTGTCACGGTGCCCAGGTCTATTAACCCTCCTTTACCCAAAACACAGCAAGGGATAGATGGTTACTCTGAGCAGCTGGGATGTGGATTAAACTATTTCATGACGTGATGGGAGGATAATTTAATTTAGCAAATGTATTATCAGCTCATTGTTTAAAAATAGACTCCAGAAAGTGTAATAGCGGAAGTAACTCTTTTATTGATTACTTGATTTTGTGAGATGAAGATATTTATGCAACACTGTCTAAAGGATTAATCCATGAAATCACTATGAATATATTGATTTTATTTGTACCCCTGCCATATCTGTATGAAGTGCGGATGTAACACTGACAGCAATTGGTTGCACTGCATTCTGTAAATTCCCATGCACAAATAATACATCACAGGTCTGGGAAGATATTCTATTATTATTATTTATAAAACGGCAACAAATTCCACTTTACAATGGGTGGACTAACAGACATGTAGCCAGACGAGTTGGACACACAGAAACAGAGGGATTGAGGGCCTGCTCAGTGAGTTTACATGCTATAGGGTGTGGGGTACAGTGACACAGTAACAGAGGGATTGAGGGCCCTGCTCAGTGAGGTTACATGTTAGAGGGAGTGGGGTATAGTGACACAGTAACAGAGGGATTGAGGGCCTGCTCAGTGAGTTTACATGTTAGAGGGTGTGGGGTACAGTGACACAGTAACAGAGGGATTGAGGGCCTGCTTAGTGAGTTTACATGTTAGAGGGAGTGGGGTATAGTGACACAGTAACAGAGGGATTGACGGCCCTGCTCAGTGAGCTTACATGTTAGAGGGAGTGGGGTATAGTGACACAGTAACAGAGGGATTGAGGGCCTGCTCATTGAGTTTACATGTTAGAGGGAGTGGGGTATAGTGACACAGTAACAGAGGGATTGAGGGCCTGCTCAGTGAGTTTACATGTTAGAGGGAGTGGGGTATAGTGACACAGTAACAGAAGGATTGAGGGCCCTGCTCAGTGAGCTTACATGTTAGAGGGAGTGGGGTATAGTGACACAGTAACAGAGGGATTGAGGGCCCTGCTCAGTGAGTTTACATGTTAGAGGGAGTGGGGTATAGTGACACAGTAACAGAGGGATTGAGGGCCTGCTCAGTGAGTTTACATGTTAGAGGGAGTGGGGTATAGTGACACAGTAACAGAGGGATTGAGGGCCTGCTCAGTGAGTTTACATGTTAGAGGGTGTGGGGTATAGTGACACAGTAACAGAGGGATTGAGGGCCTGCTCAGTGAGTTTACATGTTAGAGGGAGTGGGGTATAGTGACACAGTAACAGAGGGATTGAGGGCCCTGCTCAGTGAGTTTACATGTTAGAGGGAGTGGGGTATAGTGACACAGTAACAGAGGGATTGAGGGCCCTGCTCAGTGAGTTTACATGTTAGAGGGAGTGGGGTATAGTGACACAGTAACAGAGGGATTGAAGGCCTGCTCATTGAGTTTACATGCTAGAGGGAGTGGGGTATAGTGACACAGTAACAGAGGGATTGAGGGCCCTGCTCAGTGAGTTTGCATGTTAGAGGGAGTGGGGTATAGTGACACAGTAACAGAGGGATTGGGGGTCTGCTCAGTGAGTTTACATGTTAGAGGGAGTGGGGTATAGTGACACAGAAACAGAGGGATTGAGGGCCCTGCTCAGTGAGTTTATATGTTAGACCGAGTGGGGTATAGTGACACAGTAACAGAGGGATTGAGGGCCTGCTCAGTGAGTTTACATGTTAGAGGGAGTGGGGTATAGTGACACAGTAATAGAGGGATTGAGGGCCTGCTCAGTGAGTTTACATGTTAGAGGGAGTGGGGTATAGTGACACAGTAACAGAGGGATTGAGGGCCTGCTCAGTGAGTTTACATGTTAGAGGGAGTGGGGTATAGTGACACAGTAACAGAGGGATTGAGAGCCCTGCTCAGTGAGTTTACATGTTAGAGGGAGTGGGGTATAGTGACACAGTAACAGAGGGATTGAGGGCCTGCTCAGTGAGTTTACATGTTAGAGGGAGTGGGGTATAGTGACACAGTAACAGAGGGATTGAGGGCCCTGCTCAGTGAGTTTACATGTTAGAGGGAGTGGGGTATAGTGACACAGTAACAGAGGGGTTGAGGGCCCTGCTCAGTTAGTTTACATGCTAGAGGGATTGGGGTATAGTGACACAGAAACAGAGGGATTGAGGCCCTGCTCATTGAGTTTACATGTTAGAGTGCGTGGGGTATAGTGACAGTAACAGAGGGATTGAGGGCCCTACTCAGTGAGCTTACATGTTAGAGGGAGTGGGGTATAGTGACCCAGTAACAGAGGGATTGAGGGCCCTGCTCAGTGAGTTTACATGTTAGAGGGAGTGGGGAATAGTGACACAGTAACAGAGGGATTGAGGGCCTGCTCGGTGAGTTTACATGCTAGAGGGAGTGGGGTATAGTGACATAGTAACAGAGGGATTGAGGGACCTGCTCAGTGAGCTTACATGCTAGAGGGAGTGGGGTATAGTGACACAGTAACAGAGGGATTGAGTGCCTGCTCAGTGAGTTTACATGTTAGAGGGAGTGGGGTATAGTGACACAGTAACAGACGGATTGAGGGCCCTGCTCAATGAGCTTAGATGTTAGAGGGCGTGGGGTATAGTGGCACAGTAACAGAGGGATTGAGTGTCCTGCTCAGTGAGTTTACATGCTAGAGGGAGTGGGGTATAGTGACACAGTAACAGAGGGATTGAGGGCCCTGTTCAGTGAGCTTACATGTTAGAGGGAGTGGGGTATAGTGACACAGTAACAGAGGGATTGAGGGCCTGCTCAGTGAGTTTACATGTTAGAGTGAGTGGGGTATAGTGACACAGTAACAGAGGGATTGAGGGCCCTGCTCAGTGAGTTTACATGTTAGAGGGAGTGGGGTATAGTGACACAGTAACAGAGGGATTGAGGGCCTGCTCAGTGAGTTACATGTTAGAGGGAGTGGGGTATAGTGACACAGTAACAGAGGGATTGAGGGCCCTGCTCAGTGAGTTTACATGTTAGAGGGAGTGGGGTATAGTGACAGTAACAGGGATTGAGGGCCTGCTCAG